CAAGAGAGACATGGCACTCCTGGGGAGAGTCCAGCGGAGGGCTACAAGGATGATGAGGGGACTGGAGCACCTCTCCTCTGAAGAAAGGCTGCGAGAACTGGGCCTGTTCAGCCTGGAGAAGAGAAGACTGAGAGGCGATCTCATCAATGTGTACAAGTATCTGAAGGGAGGATGTCAAGAGGATGGGGCCAGTCTCTTCTCTGTGGTGCCCAGCGACAGGACAGGAGGCAACGGGCACAAACTGAACCACAGGAAGTTCCATCTGAACAGGAGGAAAAGCTTCTTGACTGGGAGGGTGACAGAACACTGGAAGAGGTTGCCCAGAGAGGTTCTGGAGTCTCCTTCCCTGGAGATAGTCAAAACCCTCCTGGACGCGATCCTGGGCAATGTGCTCTAGAGGACCCTGCTGGAGCAGGGGGGTTGGACTAGATGATCTCCAGAGGTCCCTTCCAACCTAAACCGTTCTATGATTTTGTGATACTTAGTTGCTAAATGAACCTTGCTGGATTTGCCTTTTGGCATTTTACCTGTTACGGAGTAGAGCCCCAGAGATCCTAAGAATACTTACGGAAATAGTATGTCATTCCACAGGTTTCTAGAGCATTAAATAAATTTGTGATAGTTTCCCAAATGATTAAAAAATACTTGACTTAATACATATGAAGATAGATAATGTTAAAGTTTGTAGGTAACATCTTCAGTGTTCATCCTGGTCTTGTAAATAGGCACTTATTCTTATCTTTTCCCCCCTCACCTTTTTTTATTACTGATTTGACTATATTAGGATAATTTGCAGTGTGCATGTCAGTATATATTAATAAAGTGGTTTACCCATTGAAACTGCAGTGCTGTGAAGTAATATGCCAAGCTCTGTGACTTAGGGAAAAATGTTAACTGCTGAAAGACAATTAACTCTGCCTTGCTCAGTGCATCTGTTTGTTTCATGCATGTGTAAGTATTTGTAAAGAAATGCAGTTCACTGAAAACTTATAATGCAATTGTTTGCAGAGTTCTCAAGTATCGAATTTAAAATTCAGTCATTGTCCACTGCAAATTGATAGCCGATGTATTTTTCCCCACATACATATAGGTGGCACAGTTGAGCTGTGTGTAGTGTCTGTACCCAAAAGGTGGCTTTCTAGCAGTTTCTCAGACATTTGAAATTTGGGATATTTGAAAGTGCTGTTTCCATGCAGCATGGATTTTTGATTGGTCCTGGTGTCTGTACTCATCATAGCCAGCCTGTCATAATAGGTACCACAGCAAACTGCCTCTAAATAGTCCCAGATAGGATGCTGGAAGCACTGACTTCTTCTGAATCATTTGATTTGCCTCAGTGGCAAGGTACCTAGTAAGAGTTGATACATTTAGGATGGGAATTTGGGGAAGAAGAGCATTACCCTACTTTAATCCTTGTGGGGGTCTATGTGTGAAAATAGATTGTCAGGAAGTAATTAAATGAAGTTGATTTAGAAGATGGAATATGGAACTCGCTGAAAGCATTGACTTTATCTTGCTTATATAGGAAAGCAACAAGCTAGAGCTGCCTTACAAAGAAGGTTATACATTCCCAGCAATGACAGAGTAACTTCAGTGAGGTAAAACCTTGTGGGAGAACCCTAACACACTACAGTGTGAGGAAAAGGACTTTCTATTTGTCATAATCAGAAGAGAGCCAGAATCTGTGGAAAAATTGTTTAACAGAAGAGCTGTTCTTCCATATTGGGCAAACTCAGGCTTAAGGTTGCTCTCTTTTGGGCAGGATGTGGACTAACTATTCCTTTATTAATTAATTTCATTTCTTTTCTTTTCTTTTTTTCTTTCCCCTCAGTGTTCAGGACAAGGATGGAGTACTAGACCCTGCAGCCATCCCTCGTTTCATTCCAGAAATAACAATTGGAGGCACTGAGTATGATAAAATTTATTATGAATATCGATCGGTAAGTAATTCTGGAAGAGGAGCAGTTGGACAATAGCTGTACGATTATGCCGGCGAAGGTGTGAGCATATTCATACCTGTCCTGTGCACAGCTTGGGTGTTAACTTCATGCACATAGATGCACATTTCTAAGAGTAAGTTCTGAATTTTGCCTAGATCCCCACCTTTTTTGAAGTCTAGCTTCCACATAAGAGGCATAGTGAAGCAAATTGTTTGTTTCGTAAGCTGATTTTCTTTTTTGATCTTTAGATGTGGACTAAAGGAGAAGTGATTTTCATTTGTTTTTGTTTCTCCTGCCCTGATTAATCTCTGACCTCTGAAATCTAAAATAATCCTCTGAGTCAAACAAGAAAATTGGGAACTCATGGAGGCTTCTGAAAAGAAGACTACTTATAAAACACTTCAGGAAGGGGTGTTTTTCTAAAGTAGGCTGAGGAGATATGAGCATTACATTGGTTCTGAAAAGTGTTGTTGCTTTAAATAGTGTATTTCTGTGAGCAGGCACACATCCAAAGCCTGTTGTGGCCCAGCACTTTCTTACACCTCATGCAGGCTCCCACACAATGTTTTAATTAGCTGCTTGCCTTTCTGGTTCTGGAGACAATGGCTTCAAATTGACTTAGCGCTTAGTCCTGTCAGTTGTTTGGCTGGCATGGGATCCTGTTACACCATGTAGTGTTTTTCTAAGGCACAGGTACTGTAAATTCTCATTAGAGAAATTGTGGAACTGACGCCAATTATTATTGTTTGGACAAACTGAAATTGCAAGTGATAGTATATTTTTCAAGTTTTGTAGAAATTTTCTCTGCTATTTTTTCAAGCAATCACTGAAGACCAAGGAATATATGTGGAAATTGTTATAAACCATGATTCGCATAGTGAAAACACTGTCGTTTTTCTGATCCTGTTAACGTATGGTCTGTTACTAGAATTAAAATGTAAGGTATGTTTCAACTTATTTGGAAACTAGCAAATGCTTTCTTGAATAGTCAGTTCAGAATTTCCTCCAAATATTCGACATAAGTTATTCCTCTTCAGCTAGCTGTGCAGTGGAGAGACTCTCCAAGTTCATGCTGTTCTGCCTCATTTGAGTTGTGTATGAGAGTATTCTTTCCGCTTTGTGTAAAAGGAGCTAAAATTAAGGGTTAAAGCAGCAGAAAGCTTGTCAGTATTCCTTGAGTTTGTCTAATGGTTTTGAAAATTCCCTGGTTCATCTACCAGGGAAATTGCTACCAGAATTTAGCTTTTCTTGGTATCACAGTTTAAATCTGAAATGTCAAGCTCAGACTAAGAATTTTTTGAGTTCTTCACTGCAAAAGACGTCTTTGTGTGTGCAGCACGTATTTCAGAATGATCGGCTGCATGACTCGTCACCAGCATGCAACATCCAGCTGTACTGACTGTGCCTGTCTTCCTGAAGATGACAGGCCTTTTTGGTTGAAATGTCACTTTGCAGTGGAGCAGGGAATTATTGAGGCTGCCTGACACACAGCTAGATGTGACCTCAGTGCTGTGTGCTGGGAACCAGGGGTACTAGTTCTGAAAGCCTTTTTTTTTCTGACTATACAACAGCACATTCCTCTTTGTGATGGCAAGAAACTGAGAATGCCCTGGCTGATAAGAAAACTGGCTTCCAAAAAAGATTGTGACTTGCCTTGCAGACATAGTAGAGGGTTGCTTAGCCATAGAAATCTGAATACCTGGGAAGGGAAATGGTGATCTTGGGTTATTCGGTTTGGTGCCGGTTAGTTGACAGCAGAAACTGAGTATTATCAGTGCCAAAAAACTGCTTTGCCAAAATATAATCTCGTTTCTGCAGGCATGTTTTTAGGCCCTCATTCAGGAAAATACTATGCAAAGTGCTAATGTCTTTTGGAGTAAGAAGGGATCATGTGCATTTCATAGAGGGTTCTGTTAAATTGAGACAATGCTGGCTACTCTGTTTTTTCTCTCTTCTGAATGCTTAAACACTTGTGGTAATCCCTCAGGTGTCTGATGGAGCCGCTATTCAGAAGGCGTCTTTCCCAGTAGATCTGCCGAATCTCTTTTCTCATCTCCCTGTGAATGCAGTGACCTAGCAATTCTGTCTTTTCTCATTTCTTTTTTTTTTTTTTTTAGTTGAAAGCAATATGTTACTAAATAGCTTATTTTCAGCCTTTCCCTGCTTCTTGGAGTTGAGTGCCAGAGAGCCATCTCCTGAAGGAACAAATGACTAGCTTTACTATGAAACAGTGCTGTGGGAGAGGTAGTTGTCATGGGATAGGTAAGAGATTCTCTGCTCATGAGAGAGATGCATGGCCCTATGCATCTCTGCTGGTGGTCTTTGCTGTTCGTATAAAATTCCACAGGGATGGGTCATGGCCTAAAAGTAAAATGAATTTTCTTTCTTTAGCCTTAGTGCTCAGGGTTTGCCCACAGCCCACTGGAGATGTTCAGAAGATTTAATTGTACTGAGACACTGAGCAGCTTGTGATGCCTTTCTTATTCAGTCCTAGCCTCAGGGAGGATTGTCTCAACTCAGTGTCAGTGAGTCTGTGCATGGCTGTGCACAATGCAAAAGATGCTGAATTTTCCTACCTCTCATAAGCTACCAGAGAAAAGCTACTCAAAAGAATGGGCAGCCCCATTCACCTTTTTATGTTCTAAGAATTAAATTCTTCTAAGAATTAAATTCTTTGTGTTAAGATCTTAATTTTTCCCCCAATTTTGTTTTGCAAATGACAATGTGATGGCTTATATTCAGAAGTAATATAGCATAAGACCAACTAGTACAAGCAGAAAAAGTAGATGATCTTTTAGACACGCAGGCTTTGACTGTGAAGTTGCTTAGTCTGATGAGGGAGGATTTCAGCCCGTAAAACCTTGCCTTGTCGATGTCTTATGTACAGGCAGTTACAACTATGCTTTTGCTCTTGCATTTGAAGGCAGATAAAGATTTTAGCCTCACATGACTTGTAATTAAAGACTTAATTATGGTATAATTACAGAACTTTAGCATTTCCATGTGGAAAATACGTGCTTTTAAAGTTAGTATAATAAATGTTTACCAAATAAATTCAATGGTTTATGTAGGGGATTTTTTTTTACTCGGCAATCTTATAACTAGTCATAAATCCTTGATCAAAGAGATATGCAGCTAACTCCTGTGCTTTTCAGTGTTGCATGCAAACAATTCATGCTGCCTAATGCTGCTGTTGCCCTTGTAGTTTTCAGAGGTTCTCAAATCCCAGGCAGAAGCTATTTTTTATTCAAAATATTCATTAGTCACAAGTAGCTGGGGAGGAGGAGGAAACACTTTTCAGAGAACAAAATTTTAGGTACGTTCATCTTTCTTTAAAATCATGAGGTAGCTACATAGAGCTTTGAGTTCTGTAAAATTGCTTTTTTTGTGTGCATCCCCTAAACTACTTCTGTAGATATTTTCTTCACTTGTGAGGAGGTGG